CCACAAACAAATTAGATTTGGTCACAAGTTTTGTAAGTGGGATATAAACAAAATTTCCAACAAACAAAATTAAGCACTCAATTATTTTGAACAGTTGTAGTTGGGGGTCCCACAAACAGATCAGATTTGGTCGAGAATTGAACAAGTGGGGTATAAACAATTTCCAATAAACAATTTCCGATAAACAAAACTAAGCACTCAATTATTTTGAACATATGTAGTTGGGGGCCCACAAATAGATCTGATCTGATCAAAAGTCATGCAAGTGGGATATAAACAAAATTTTCAACAGACAGCTAAGCACTCAATTATTTTGAACAGTTGTAGTTGGGAGTCCCACAAACGGATCATATTTGATCACAAGTTATGCAAGTGGGATATAAACAAAAATTTTAATAGACAAAACTAAGCACTCAATTATTTTGAACAGTTGTAATTGAGGGTCCCACAAACAGATCAAATTTGGTCACAAGTTGTGTAAGTGGGATATAAACAAAATTTTCAACAAACAAAACTAAGCACTCAATTATTTTGAACAGTTGTAGTTGGGGGTCCCACAAACAGATCATATTTGATCACAACTTGTGCAAGTGGGGTATAAATTTTTTTTCCAACAAACAGAACATATATATATTTATAGTATAAAGATTGATTAGCAAATAAAAAACATTGACCACTAATTGGATTCTAAAACTTTCATCTCAACCATAAATTTACCTTCCTAAAAAATAATGAAAACTATAAATTTACTAAAAGTACAGATATTCCAAGTTTTACTTTAAATAAGAAGGCCCGGCTCAATGTTTTTGCCTAAAGTTCATATAAAAAAGGTTAAAAGCGAAAATAAAGAAAAGCAAAAGCTATTGCATTCATTTCCCCTGGCCTCAAAAGATATCCACTACAACTCAATGCTAATGGACAATTCCTAATCAGCACTTTGGTGTGACATATCCACTTATCCAACTTTGGGTTATGCTCTTAAACTTTCACCATCTTTAATTAGCTCAAAAGGGAGCTTTCTGACTCGTAAGAGATGTGAAAACCCTACACTGTTAAGTAAGTACTACTGCAAATCGTATTCCTTTAATCACAAGAACGTGTCATGCCTAATCATATTCATGTCATGTCGTAAAAATTGAGGTATTGCAGAAGTCATGAAGTTTTTCGAAATTGAAAATTCTCAAATTTTTAGATTTATTTCTCTTTAATTTTCTTTATTTGTCATTTAATGGTGTGATATCAACTATCCTTTTCTCTCTTATAAATATTTTTCTTGTTGTAGGGA